TGATCGTTTATTCGATTTTCTAAATACAAGAAATCCATTTAGTAAACATTTTAAACAACTTCTAACAGTACACAATTTCCATTTTCTTCAAAACATCATTCAGAAAGAAATTGAATACCTATTTTTATTAAAAAATAAAAAAGGACAATTTTTAAAAACGACTAGTAGAAAAACATTTCTTTATAGGATTACAATTGCTGCTACATCGATTTTGGCAGTGTCCAAGGAATTGTTTGCACCAAACACATTATACAAATATAACCTGTCATATAAATTTTCTCAAGATTATATCGAATTGTTATTTGCAAAAATTAGAAGTTGTAATGGTTATGACAACAATCCAAACGTGCTGCAATTGCAACGTACCATGCGATAAATATTATTACATAATAGTATTACAAATTATGGTGACAGTAATTGTTTAGAATTAGAATCAGATCCCGTGGGATCTGTTTTTGATTATGTATGGAAGAAGAGGAAAAACGAAACCGATTTTTCTAATATTGAGGAAATTGAAGAAGAGATAAGTGAATCTGAAATGGATGATAATTTAAATAAGAATGTTTATATAGAACCATTACAAGAAGAGATATTATATTATATTGCTGGATATATAGTGAAAAAGCTATGTTATATAAATTGTTATCATTGCGCACAAAGTTTGATTCATGTTGATGCAGAACATTTATGTACATTGCGATAAGTATCCAAAATTTTTCGATTTTAGTAATAATAGAGGGTTAACACGGCCATCCAGAAGCGTTTATAAAATTATTTTAGAAATTGAAAAACAAATTAAAATTTTAACAAAAGATTTTTTGCAATTTATGATTAAAAATTTATAAAGATTATTACACAAGTTAAAAATATACTTACTTTAGATGGCGATATATTCAAAAATTTGAATTGTGACAATAATGATATATTAGAAATACCGCATAAAACTAAATTGATTACAGCTATAGCTCAACGATATTTAAAGATAAGATCGTATTCCTATGCCAAATTTTACACATAAGAGGTTTTAAAACCAATTAGAAAAAGACACAAGCTTTCAAAGCAAATTTTCCCATACAGCACAGAAGCTGCAGCAATATTGTTGTAACATTGCAAAATTGCATATTGCAGTGCGATATTACAGCAAAATTGCAAAAACAATATTGTGCAATATTATTTCTGCAATATTGCAATATTGCAGCTATATTGCAAAGATATTAATTTGCAGTAACAATTGAATATCCGTGAACGAATGTCCTATGCGACGCTAAACGCTTTAACCTCCTCTTTTTACTTCCTCTTTTATCCTCTATTCGTTGATAGATGTTACAAAAAACTTGACTCCGATTGTTCAATTTTTAAAGCTTACGGCTTAAATCACCAAATGTTAAACTAGTTAGGGTTAAAGTCGGTCTTAACTCTATGACTCATTGTAAAACCAGCTTGTCGTCATGCTATATCAATATTCTAATTGGTGAAGAAGACCTTGTGCCTCCATCGAATCAGCAGAGACCTGGTCACGTGATCAGTTTGCCACTCTCTCCCTTTGAGGCTCTCTAGCTGGAAGTTGGAATCTCCTTAGTGTCTGTTATGTAGCTGGAGAAAAGAGGTATGTAAATACATTTGGTTATTGTAACAAAGACGTTATTGTAACGTCTTTCGATCAAACTGATCTAGATCGCAGTCATATTTTCATCTCAAACGAGAAAGAACGCTTATCGACATATAATGGCAATGTAAATATCGTTTTGCAACGCAATTCACTCCATAAAATATTACAATTCGTCCCTTCATATTTTATTTAGTCAAGTTGCAGATGACACAAATGTGTGTTGAGAAACTGACGGAGCCTTATAACCTTTCTGAAAGGTCTCATTGGAACCACCGTACTCAGAAATTGTATTTTGTCGACCTATATACACAGTCTGTCTCAGATACGATGAGACTGGTTCCATCAAAGTTCTTAGCGCAGCGATATCTATGAGTGAATGATGGTAGGTGAATGTTCTACCCTTCATCTACTTTACCTCAAAATTTGAGCGAATTCGGTTGATATTTCACTGTGGTTTGACATTTTATGTAAAGTCACTTTGTGTACGTCAGTCGAAAAACCAACTTTTAAATTGGGTAAAAGTGGTGCAGAAACGTACGAAACGCTAAAAAATGTGTAAGTATATACGTAGACTACACCCTGCAACAGGTGTTGTAAGCAATGCATACAGATAATACTATACAGGGTGCACGATTTATCTGAAGACATTGAAATATCTCGAGAACTATACATTGGATAAAAAAAGTTTTAGTATAACTATTGTTGACTATTGTTCATTGCAGAATTAGATTGTACGTGAAATTTTTATTGAAACAATTTTTTTCATTCGTGATAGATAGTGTTGAATTTTTCCGAGAAACTACTTTTAGCGTTACACAGGAACAACGACGAGGACGTAGTAGTTTTATGTTCCCTTCGGGTGCTTTTTTAATGTGAGTCCCCTTGCCTCTCACAGATCGGGATGCATTTTTAATGTGAGTCCCCTTGCCTCTCACTGTCCAATTAATTAGAGTAAGTTTTCGAAATTTTTACCTTCAACTGCAATACACTTATTGATCCTTTTTTCAAATGACTGTACACAGGATAGAAGCATATCTGCGGGAGTTTCAGCGCAAGCGTTTCTTATGCGTTCTACCATGTTTTCACGAGTTGTTGGCACTTGTTGATAAACCTTATCTTTTAGGTAACCCCACAGAAAGAAATCCGGCGTTCTTTAAAATGTTCTTTAAAAATGTTCTTTATGTATGTTCTTTAAAAATATTGAGCATCTCTATGTTCTTTAAAACTTTTAAATTAAAAGTTTTAGTATAACTATTGTTGACGCGTTTTTTTTTTAAGTGGTATCCCCAGTAGGCCTAATCCACTGATGACTGTAACAACCCGTAACTAATTGAACAGAAGCGAAATAAAATATGTTAAATGAAGAATATTTAATTCGATTTTCGGCGTCTTTTATTAGTAAGAGCGGAAACGTCAATTTGCATATTGCATGTAGCGAGCCGCATAAGACGTGGTAAGGAATCGTCGTTTAAAGAAGAACGCTTCTCATTTTTTATAAACTTCATTTTCAAAAATGAAGTTTATAAAAATTATTTTTGAAAATGAAGTTTATAAAAAATGAGAAGCGTTCTTCTTTAAACGACGATTCCTTACCACGTCTTATGCGGCTCGCTACATGCAATATGCAAATTGACGTTTCCGCTCTTACTAATAAAAGACGCCGAAAATCGAATTAAATATTCTTCATTTAACATATTTTATTTCGCTTCTGTTCAATTAGTTACGGGTTGTTACAGTCATCAGTGGATTAGGCCTACTGGGGATACCATTTAAAAAAAAAACGCGTCAACAATAGTATCTCATGGGTGACGTGGAAAACTGTTGGAAACACGCTCCTGAGGCTCGAGCGGCTTGTAGGCAGCATGCGGAGTGGCGAGGTAAAGGGAACAGCGGTGGGCGGAGATAGTCGAAAATCGGCCGTCGCGTGCATTTTTTGCCGAGCTCTGTTCTACGTAATACAGCTGTTTGCTAATTTCTACAGATATCTTGTGGATATCAAATGACAAAAATACTTCAGTGTATTATGACAATATTCAAATATCCGCTTTTTATTACATTTTTATAACAAAATATAACATTGACGTAATTTTTATATTTTGTATAATTAGATGTAATAAAAAGTGGACTTTTAATATCGCAATAATGTTATACTGACAATTTTGCCATCTGCTGGTATCTGTGGAAAAAAGATTAACACATAATTATGTTATATGGAATTGTATAATTACAAAATGTTGAATACATGTTATAGAATGGTTTAGTTGCATATATTAGAGCTATAGTTAGAGCTATATAATATTATATTGTTTAATTTTGTATATTACAGCTATTACGCCACTCTATACACACACACACACACACATATGTATATATATATAGGCATAATAGCTGTAACTTTATTGTATATATACTATATAACATTGTTATTGCAATATTACAACAGAATGTTGCTGTATTATTGCAGTATAATATTGCTGCAGTATTGCAGTACAATATTGCTGCGCTATTATAATGCAATATTGCTGCATCATTGCAACGCAATATTACTGCAAGCGGACATTTTAATGTTGCTGCAATATTGCTGCACCATTGCAGCAACATTTTGCAATGATGTTGCAATGATACAATCTTGCAAAACAAGATTGCTGCAATGTTGCTGCAATCTTTCTGTGCTGTATAGGATAGAGCAGATTAACACAAACATAAAAGTATACTTTTTTGCGATATTCGCAATAGTTGCCAAGTTATTAATTACAAAAATCTGATGAATGAGCGCGCACTGAGATGGATGATTGAAAATGGAGGGGGAGGACACACCCAGAGAAAAGATTTATTTAGGACAAATAAAATTTTGTTCAAACAAATAAATTCTCTTATTAATATATGGGCTAAATAAAACTTTATTAATTTTAAGCATATTTATTTATTTGGCTATATATTTAATATCAATTGTGTAAATATATCAGTGTCTAATAAAGAATTGATTTAAAGTAACAATATTTTCTTCTTTGAAAAAGATATGTATGTTATTTGTGTATATGCCTATTGCTTTACTTTATGCAAAAATTAAATAAAAACAACGTTTAAAACTTGTTTATTTTTATTTAAATGAACATAGAATAATAATATGATTTTAATATTACAATAACGCAGTTTTTATTATACGGTATAATTATACTGCATTTTATTCATTTTGCGCATATATAAAGGTGTTATATCCGGCAAATTATTTACATAAATATATTGATTCTGAACATTAATTTCATTTGGTTTAACAACATATGAATGACAGTGCTCGTCAAAACCGAGAGTGCGTAATATAGTATTCACTAATCCACAATGTGGCAAATCGTCGTGTATACCAGTATACGTAATACAACACATCTCGCTATTTTATATAATCGCCTGTTATAATCGATCCATTTAACTGGGATGAACTTTTCATCAACTTGACAAATTATACCGGTAGCCCGAGGTCCTTTATTATGCTATTTAAGATTTCATTATTCGATAGTCTGTATGTTAAATGTAACTGGTAATCGATTGCAATGGTTTGAGTTAAATTTATTCGACTCGCGGAATTTCGAGCTGCTTGTAACCCTAGTGCGTGCTTTCCTTCGAATCTCATGCACCAAAAGTTATGTAGAGGACCATTGTCATGAATAATGCGCCAATAGTGCACCATGAAATAAAATTTTGGTTTATTATGCTATATATTGTGTAAGAACTCTTATAGTTTTAGAGTTGAATGTAAAGAAATGTAAAAATATAGGAGAAAATTAAGTTATTTCTTTAGAATTTAGTTTGACGACCTTTGAAGTTGTATTGTTTTCTATTTTTGATGATGTCGAAGGTAAACTCGAACTGTCGAGCTTGATTTTTTTAAGAAATGGTTATGCACTTTCTTCACTCGTGTTCTTTATAGCTAACACTTCATCGTTAACAAGATTCTCATCCTCTTCTTTCAAAGCATATACATTTTTCCAGTCTGCTTTACTAATAACTTCAATTATGCAGTCACCTTTAGGAGTCGTTTGTTCACTACTTTCAACTGAAACCTATATACCTTTTTAATTTTATTACATGAAAAAATCAATGGCAGTAATTCATTAAAAATAAACGTTATAATCTCACCTTTCCTTTGTAAGTTTCGACAGCCTTCTTGTACCGTAATTGATCACCGATTGGAGCAATGAATAAAGGAAGAATATCTGCAGTAATTTCTTCTATTTGATTAATTTCGATTTTGTTTTTTGTAATGATATTACAATACGTTGAAGCTGAGGATGTGCTCATCTGGAACGAAAAGTGCCACTGCCTCGGCTCGCAGATTAGCCAACCCGATCCTCGTCAAAAAAAGTTCGTGAGCGCGAGTCTACATATTCACGGAATCTTCACGTGCGATCCCTGATCACGCGACCACCGCAGCGGCCTGCGAGGATCGTCGTGAGGAACCCGTGGCGATGCGACTACAGAACATTTGACTCTCACACAGCTTCAAACGATTGGAATTTGCAATGTACTTACATATGAAAATATCCGAGTAGCTTCCTAATCCCGTACTTTCTAAAAATGTTTTTATTTGATCATCCATTGTACTTTTCACAATTTATCATTCACGTTGTTACCTGTACCTGTACCCGTAGTGGACGAGAAATCGAAAAAGACGAGCGTGAAGCGAGACAAAACAGGACAATATTTGAACGTCGAAGCGCATAACGTGCTTGCCGCCCGGTCCGTAAATTGGCGGTTTCTTTGACTTCAGTATAGCATTTATTTAATCAAAAGAAATGCTTATTTAAATTATCAATTTTAAATATCGCATTTATTTCATATCTAAAAAATATATCTTTACGTGGCATAATTATAAGTAAATAAATTTATTTACTTGCATCATGTAACTCTTATAGCCTAAATCTAATAAATATTTTATTCATACAAGTAAAAGTATTATGAATTCAAATAAATAGTATTCTAATGTACTAATTTATTTGAATGTAATAAATCATTTCTCTGGGTGCGTCCCGAGGACGTTCTTAAGACGTACTCTGGATGTCCTCTGGATATCTGTGCTATTAGGGCTATTATCACGTAGTATTAATCATTATAATGAATAAAGTTTAATTAATTCAAAAAATTGAAACTTACAAGGAACAGCTGTGAAGTGTGTCTCCGATTTCGACGAAAGTTGGCATATTTGTAGAGTAGCCAGAAATAAGAAACCCATATTTTTTTTATGGCTCAGGTTTAAGGAATGAAACTGCCTCTTAAAATTTCATTTTCTTTATGCTATCTCGATAATTATTGCAGATAGGAAAACATTTTTTAAACAAAAATTGTAAAACTGGTTTTTATTGTCGTACAATTTTTGTTTAAAAAGTTTTTTCCCATCTGCAATAATTATTGAGATAACATAAAGGGGATGAAACTGTGAAGGACAGTCTCATCCCTTAAACCTGAGCCATAAAAAATATATGGGTCTCTTATTTTTGGCTACTCTACAAATATGTCAACTTCCGTCGGAAGCAGAGACATACACTTCACGGATGTTCCTTGTAAGTAATATTTTTGTTAGATATATCGTAAAATCGATTAAGTATCTAATTTTCTTCTATGCTTTCATCTATGCTGTAATTTTAACAGTGCCATATCCATTTTATATTTACGCAACTCGTACAGTATACTGTAATTTATTTATGAATACTTTCCCATTTTATAATATAATAATAGTATACACTGAAGCGCATATAGTACCTTGATGAAATTACAATAAATTTGTTACGAAGATGCTTATTTCTTAATTTAATACATAAAAATTTTGCGACTTAAAATTCTAGTACAAATACATCATAATCATTTTTATATTTAAAAATTATAACATGGTAAATATATAAAGTGTAGCTGGATTAGTGACACAATCGAAAAGGATACGTGCATATAATATTTCATGTATAAAAATAAATTAAAAATATCGAATAAATTGTATCTTTGTGAGATTCAGTTTCTAAGAAAAAATAATTTTTTCAATGTTAAAGATCCAAAGTTATATTTTCCTTATTTTTGAAACTTAATTTAAGTGATAACGTTAATAACCATATAACTTCTTATACACATTATCAAGCTGCTTCTGACAACGATTACAGTTAAATATTTCGTCTCAAATAATAACAATGGTTTTAATATTTATTTTAGAAATTAATTTTTTAATAACCTTGTCAAATGAAATATTGTTTTATTCATATTCGGATTTCATATCTTAATTAAAATCCATATTCATATCACTAAACTTCAAAATTATATATTTATGTATAAAACTTCAGGAATTAAAATATAAAATAACAATATAATATTGGGTTAGCTAATAAGTAAGGTCGGACTTTTCCACAAGAGATTGTTTTTGCTGTTTTTAAAACAAAAGATTATTCGTAACCTATAAAACACATATAAGTCTAAAAGCTAAGATTTTAACATGTAATTAAAAAAATTAATTATATTTGGTTAAATTTTTTTAGTGTTTATTTTGATTTAAAGATGAATAATGAGATGTATTTTCGTGTAATTATGCTTTTTTATTTCCGCAAAAATAAAAACGCTGTACAAACAGCAAAAAAATTTCATGGTGTGGATGGTGATGAATGAAAGAATGATGCAAAGATGATTGAAAAAATATTGTGATGGAGATTTTAGTCTTACCGATGACAAACGTTCTAGCAGACATATTAGGATTGATAACGATCGAAGCCTTAATTTGATATAATTTAAAAATAATGTACGTTATACTACACGGAAAATTGTTGAGAATATCGAAATCTAACGTTGAAAACCATTTGTATCAACTTAATATTCCTAGATATAATATTTAGGTTCTGCACAATTTAAGTGAAAAAATTTAGTCGGTAGAATTTCGGCTTGTGATTCGTTTCTAATACATAATAAAAACTACTTTTGAAGCGAATTGTTACTGGGGATGAAAAATCAACTATTTAAAATAATGTGATACGAAAAAAACATTAAAATAAACCAGGATCAATCTCGTTAATCTTTTGTTAACCTCCAAAACTGGTTTACACCCCAAAGTCATGTTATGTGCACATTGGAATTGTAAGGAAATACCATTTTATGAGCCTCCTATTATTTAATCAAAAAGCATTAATTCTGGTACTGTTTGCAGTTGGATAATTTGAAAGAAAATATTAAGAAAAACGATCAGAACTTGCCAATAGGAAAAAAATAATTTTCCACTGAGCCAACGCAACGCAAGGTCACAAGATCATTACAGACTCGGCAAAAATTGAGAGTTGAATTAGGATGTTCTTATTCATCCACCATATTCATATGACTTTAGCACTATCAAATTTTCACTTATTTCGTTCTTTATAAAATTCGTTTAATTAATGGAAAAAATTTTGATTCTCCAAAGGCCTATGAAATGCATCTTTCAAAATTTTTTATTGAAAAAAAAAATGGCAAATTTTGGGAGAATGGTATTATGAAGCTATATAAGATGGCAAAAAGTCATAGATCAAAATGTTTAAAATTTCATTTAATAAAATTTTCTATATTAAAAAAAAAAAAAAAATTCTGTTTCTTACTGAAAAATTCAATATTATTTTTTGGCCAACCCAATAATAATTTCAATATAAATTATTGGCTTCAGAACAGCAATTGAATAATATTGTAATATGTGTACAGTTAACTGTATCGCTCAAATATTTGCAAATGAATAACATGATACTATTTCGACAAATTGAAAATATTTTTATACGTTGTGTATATATATATATACACACACACACACACATATATATTTACATGCATGTGTGTCACTTATTATATATGCATGTATATATGTATATATATACATTTATATATGTAGACAGAAATGTAATATATTTTATTATACAATTGCAGTGAGACATAGAATAACGTATTCAAATGTCCACGCTATTCTAAGACAAACATGGGCTAAAAAAAAAAAACAAAAAAGAAAAAAGAAAAATCAGCGATCAAAATTCAAGTACAATATATTGGGTTTTATCGCAAATAATGAAACTAAAACAAAAAGTATCTTTAAAGTAAATTTTAACGCTAGTTTCTATTGTGTTCTGTACAATATGCAGTCGCTCTACATTAATTACTAAATGCGCAAATGCGTACAACATAAAAATTGTAATGCGTTAAGTGTTTCTGTATTAAAATATTTTAAATAGAGTTATAATCTTATTCAAATTCAATATTTACCAATAAGCCTATCAGAATCATAACTAAATAGCGAGTCTTTCAGTAAAGACTGTCACAAGTCAAAAACTTGTAATTCAAAATATAATTCGTAGTTGTACTTTTATAGCTTTCATTTTATCAGCTAACATTCTATTGACGAATAATATACTATCAAGTTATCTTCTAATAGTAATTTATCAAGTATCTAGAGATAAATATTTAAACTGGATTCATTTTTTTTTTCAAGCGATGTTAGACAAAATGTATTCGTAAGAACAAAACTTAGCTGTTACATATGTATGTATTATGTATTTTATATATAAAATACATAAAATATACTCTACATACATATGATATACCATGTACGTATGGACATTCATTCTTTCTTTCTCTCTTTTACTCACCCTTCCCTTTCTTTACATTTAAATTCAAAATTCAGAAATGTTATTATGTGCGAATGAATTCTGCCTAACACCGTTTTAAGAGATAAATAAAATCTATATTTCTTAATTATCATCAGCGTCATCCTCGTCGTCGGATATATACTTCTTAGTAACTCGCTTCCTACGACCACCTCTTCCCTCGCCTTTTCTACCCTTTAATTTAATTTTCATTCTTACACTGGAATCCGCATCCGAACCCTCTTCACCATCTGCAATAAAAAAAAAAATATATATATACATTTGTATAGCATATTTTTTTCATTTCGATTTTCCCAAGAAATTAAAATATACGCATACCTTTATCATCTCCGTCAGAATTATTACCCTCTTCTTCAAGGCGCTGACGTGCATTCGTGAAAACGGATTGCAATACTATCGAGTCCTCATGAATAAGAGATGCTTCTTCATTATAAATTTGAGCATTTTTACAAAGTTGCATAAAATCTTTCTCCAATTCGTCAAAATCGGCATACTTGAAAAAATAAAATTATAAATATTTATATCTAATGGAAAGATTCCTGTCGAATACATAAAACAAATACTTACTTTACCCTCTTCGATTTTTTGCAACAATTTATTAATAGTCAAAGGTTTCTTAATTATATCATAATAATCTGGCAATTCTCTTCGTGATGGTAATTTCATGAAAGGTTCACTCAATACTCGGCCATCAGTACTATCGGTATAATTAACAACTAACATGATTAATTTCTTCATAGCCTGTTTCATTTTGGGATCAACCAAAGCTCCGCCGCCTCTTCGTTTCTTCGGCATCGGCTCGTCGTCTTCTTCGCCTTTTTTCTTCCGTTTTCGTGTTTTCTTCTTCTTCTTATCATCTTCCTCCTCTTCTTCATATTCTGCACCATCGTCATCGATTGCTTTCAACCATTCTTTTTCAGTCAAACTATCCGTATAATCAACTTCTTTACGTTGTCTCGAACCTCTTCCAAGAAACCTGTCTTTGTCTTCTTCATACGTCCATCTTTCCACCTCGTCATCATCTTTCACCAGCCAGTCAGGCAATTCGGCTTCTTCCAATAATCGCGACTTACGATTGGGACCCATATTGGCTTCCTCGCGTTCCACATCCAATTTCTGGAATATTTCGAATTCACCTTCTGTCCTAGCAATCATTTGATTAACAGTTTCGTCGTCGGGTACTTCATTTTCTTCTTCATCGTCAGCGTCATCTTGATGTAAAATGCTCTGAAGAAACTGCTGCCGCTCAGACCCAGTAGATTTCTGATCAAACATACCAGCTTGAATAACTTTCTCGTCCATATTTAATTTATATCTAGCTGCTGCTAATATCCGTTCTTCGACAGAGTTGACAGTCATTAGTCGAAGTACACGTACTTCGTTCTTTTGTCCGATTCGATGTGCTCTGTCTTGAGCTTGTAGATCCTATAATATGTATACGTATACATCATTTCTAAATGCTATTAATTGTTATTAACTTATTTTGTGCATTCTATTAATATCACGTACCTGATGAGGATTCCAATCAGAATCGAAAATAATTACTGTATCGGCAGCTTGAAGATTTAGACCAAGGCCACCAGCACGTGTGGACAGTAAGAAAAGGAAATATTCTGATCCGGGATCATTGAATTTCTTCAACAGATCACCTCTGTCCTCCGCTTTCGTTGTACCATCCAACCGTAAGTACATAAATCCTCGCCAACTCAAATAATCTTCCATGATCGTCATTAATTGAGTCATTTGACAGAACAATAAAACTCTGTGATTCGTGGCTTTCAATTTAGGAAGAATGCGATCGAGAAGTTCGAACTTTCCAGATGCGCGATATAAATCGGGCCTAAAGACAAATATAATTTAAATAAATTTTATTCTATATACAAAATATTTTGTATATTTCGGCAACGGTCGTGATTGATATACACACCCAGTAATAACACCGGAACCTTGTGTGCCTACATGTTCGCAATATTTCTCTTCTATGGCTTGGAACATGAATGGATGATTGCACAATTTCCTCAGTTGTACGATAGTATTCATAAGAGCTTTGGCCCCACCTTTTCCTTGTTTCCCTTTTTCTGATCCATCAGTTAATAGTACGCCCTTGCTTTGCATATGCCTAGACAAAATTAGAGTTAATATTATCACATATATAAAAGTTAATTCTACAATATAGAAATATAGAAAGTAAAATATGGAAAGCGAATGATACGATGACACACTTATAACATACTTATAACATACTTATAAAGTACTTTCTGAAGGCCAGACATGTCGCACTTGATAATATATTCTACTTTGTCGGGTAATTGAGATTCTACTTCCTTCTTCAAACGTCTTAATAGGAAAGGCCGCAAGACTTTGTGTAAACGACGAATAATCAATATAGTTTCTTCCTCGTTAAGTTCCACCTATATGATGTCATAATGATATGATATTATAATGATGTGATATTAAACAAAAATATTAGATAAAAATTATTATAAAGAAATTGTATACTTTTTATATATACACAAAGTGCTTACTTTTTCACCGGTAGTCGCGAAAGGAGCATTAAACCATTGCTCAAATGTGCTGCAAGACTTGAATATTGAAGGTAATAGGAAATTGAGAAGAGCCCACAATTCTGGCAATTTATTTTGCAACGGTGTACCAGTTAAAAGAAGCCGATGAGGAGCCAAATAATGTGTATTTAATACTTGGGTAAGCTTGCAATGATGGTTTTTCATTCTGTGTCCCTCGTCAATGATCATATATTTCCATTGCAGTTTTGCTAACACGCCTTTGTCTTTTATAACGTACTCATAAGTTGTTAATAAAACATTAAACTTCGTAGCTCGCATTTGAGATTGTATCGCTCTTCTACCGGCTGGGGAACCTTTGTATGATACTACAACAACGCTTGGTGCCCATTTTTCAAATTCAAGAACCCAGTTTGATAACGTTCTAGAAAAATATATAAAAAACATGTTATAAGAATAACTTTCATGAGTAATATATAACGCCTAGATTTTTAATAGAATAGAAACTTACGATAGTGGAACAATGATAAGGAATGGACCATTGACTTTCTTTTTCTCCATAAGATATGTTACCAAAGCAATCGTCTGAATAGTTTTACCAAGACCCATTTCATCTGCCAAGATACCGTTTAAATTATTGTTAAACAGCGATACTAACCACTCCAAACCCTAAAATAATCGGTTAAATTTTATTATACTAGAAAAGAGAAAGAATATAAAATATTGAGTAAGGTAAAAACATTTTGTTAAATTGAATATGATACCTTAATCTGATATTCCTTCAATTTTCCGTTCACCATAATGGTCGCCTGCTCTGTAACCACTTCACGAATAGTATGTGCGATGCTGTAATATGTCTGTTCTTCTGTTTTATATTCGTCATCCTCCACTTTCGCCTTGTGTATCGTTTTCTTCACCTTCTCTTCTTCAGAATCGCCTGTAGATTTTTCCTTGCCTAATAGATATTTCGTAAATTAATTAATTATAAATTAATGAAAATAAGTCTGTAAACAAAGAAAAATTGTAAACATACCATCAGATTTATCTTCGCTCTCATTTCCATTGTCCTCTTCATCATCATCATCATCTTCTTCGCTATCTGATTCAATTGGTTCCCATCCTGGATGAGCCTCCAAAAATGCAGACAGTTGACTCATCAACGGAGCCTCATCACCGGTCAATGTACGACCAGTGGACGTTTCTATTACGCCAACACGAGTATCGTCATTAGCTGCGCCATCTTCTCCAGTTTCACCATCTTGCAACTTCTTCTTTTTCTGCGTAATCATAAAGTTTCATTGATATCACGTTAATTCATCACAAAACAACACTTGATTTTAAAAAGCATACTTCTGATGCTACCTTCTTACGCTTTTGCTCTTCAGCTTGTTTCCTCTTTTGCTCCATTTTATGTTGCTTGACCATTTCCGTCAGATTGCTGATGTATTCGTCGGTTTGAGACAACAAAAATGCTAAACGTTTGTCTTTCTTCTGGTCAATTAATTTTCTGTATCCCTCTTCGTCTTCTGCCATTAGACGACGCATACGTTCCTTCTCAATACGTTCCTGTTCCTTCTTTTGTTCTCGTTCAGCGTTTGCGTGATGGTTAAGCACTGCTTTATTGAGTCTAGCCAACTTTGCAACATTATTGCGATGGAATTCTTTAAAGTCTTTTCCATGTTGCAGTACGGAAGTAAGAAATTCCTATAAACATGATACATAATAATACGTAATATGATATATAATATGTAATACTTGTACTTTTACATAACTTATCGTAACATATTATCGATATGATATAAAAAGTACGCAATATAAACATATAAAATAAACTTACTTGATGTTTTTGTCTACGTTTACGTTCTGCTTCTAATTTTTGTTGCTTCTCCAATTTTTCGGTAGCCCTTGCCTCGCGCAATCCTTGCCGTTTTGTACGTTTATAAGCTTTCACATTCACAGCCGTCTCTAAAGTAGTATCTTTTCGAGTACACGCTAAAATCTAGAACCAAGAACCATGAAAAGATAATGATAAATAAAACATAAATCAAGCAAAACGCTCTAACAGTTATATAAAAAAAAAAACTACATATACATTAAAGTGAATACCTCTGATCGCAACTGTCTCTGAAAGTTTAGTACTCTAAGCATGCGTAGTTCGATCTGCGCTTGTATACGTAGATCCTCTGGCATATTCGTTGGTAAATTACTAAGCTGTTCCATCCGAAGTGATATACGGGATGCGACTCTGCATATCAAACACAAAATTTGATTAAAAAAATTTTTTTTACTAATGTGTATAATTTACTGTCACACACACATACACGCGCGCGCGCATATATATACACGCAAAGAAAAATATTTTTCAAGAAAATGCATGTTTTTCGGGACGGAGGGAAGGCCGCTTAACATGGGCATCTTGAGACACCTTGTATACAGGGTGATTCAGAACAATTTCCTCCTTCTCTGAAATGACATGTCCTTTTTTCTCTTGCAAAATGTTATCCGAAGCTTAGTTTTTGAGTTATAAAAATAAGTAGTTTACTAATTACGGATCAGGTACAAAAGGATAGTACAGGTAGACAAGGACGGTATAACTCATCGTCAGACGCAGGCTTATGTTAAGAGCCTAATACCATGAGGTTATTGATGTACGTAATAACATTGCACATCATTTTTATAACTTCCATTCAATTGCGATTGATAGGATGTTAACCTTTGCTCTCGTTAATTTTGCCCGCCAGGAGGGGGAAAGAAAGTTCACAACTCATAATTGAACCGAATATAAAATTGAAAATAGAACTCTTAATATTACGGGAACAAATGCGTATGGTCAGTTAGTCTCGGTTAATTGATGCGGCATCCAAACATTAAGCCGAGAAACGTATCCCAGCTGGCGCAAATTTTCTACGCTTGTGTGGGATATATTCAATGTCGTAGCAATCTCTCGTACCGATTGGGATGGATTTACTTTGATTATAGCTTTAATGTCACTTGAATTAATCTCGGTCGGGCGATCGGAGCGGGGCGCATTATTGACGTCGAAATCTCTAGAACGGAAATTGGCATACCACTTTTGGCATACGCGTTCTGTTAAGGCATGATCTCCATACACACGGCATATCTTTTTATGAGCATCCGCAGCTCGTTTGCCTTTTTTAAAATAATAGAGCAAAATGTGACGATAATGCACGTTATTTATTTCCATGTTCACAGCTACGCAGCATACACAATACTGATGTTAGCCAAACTAAACACAGCACGACATAAACAGTGAAACATAATCTTTCAAATGTGTATTCGATTTGCACGATAGCGCTGAGAAAAGAAAAGCGAATCCGCATGAAACTTACACTGAAACAAAAACCGAACGAACTTATTTGCCAACCCAATACTTATCTTTATAATTCAAAAACTAAGCTTCGGATAATATTTTGCAAGAGAAAAAAGAACATGTCATTTCAGGAATAGGAAGTTATTCTGAATTACTCTGTATAAAGAGTTCCTATCTTTTTGAAAAGTTCGTATGTCGGAAAGTAGCATTATTATATATGGTTGGATTCAGCGTAAAATATCCTTTTTTTTTGGTAAAAACAATTTTTAGATTATGTGTATGTGCATGTGTATGTTGCGCAAGTACGTATGTATGTGTATACAGAGTATTAAAAAGGTATATCGACAAATTTGAGAGATAATAGAAGATATGTAAATAAACATAAATAAGATACGCAAATAAATATAATATGAGATAGGAAACTATTGATCATAAACGCATTATATATGATATAAGATGTTAAAAAAAAAAAAAATCGTTATTATACTAGGTGCGCAACTAAGTTTCCGGGTTTCACACATGGATGGCGCTAACGATACATATAGTCGACATACATGTCTGAAGTTGTGTTTTTTTATAGCTTGGACATCTGTTAACAATAACCAGTCGTAATACCAATACATATCGCAACGCAAAAATATTTTTTCTAACAACGAAGATGTCGAGTTTTGTGCCAAATAAACAGCATTTGCGGGAAGCTTTGCTTTCCTGCTTTAACTTGAAAAAAAGTGTAGCTGAAGCACGTCGTTTGCTTGAGGAGACCTACGGCGAACATGCACCATCGAAAACTACCTGTGAAGATTGGTTTAAACGCTTCAGAAGTGGCGATTTCGACACTGAGGATAAGGAGCACTCCGGAAAACCAAAAACAATTGAGGACGTCGACCTGCAAGAGTTATTGGATGAAGATGATACGCAAACACAAGATCAACTTGCGGAGGCATTAAACATGACTCGCCAAGGTATTTCCAAACGTTTACATGCCATGGGAAAAATTCAAAAGGAAGGAAAATGGGTGCCGCATGAGTTGACTGAGAGACAGATGGAAAATCGAAGAGCCACTTCCGAAATTTTGCTTTTGCGACATGAAAGAAAGAGTTTCCTGTATCGAATTGTTACTGGCGATGAGAAGTGGATATATTTCGAGAATCCCAAACGTAAAAAATCGTGGCTTTCACCTACTGGCGAAGCGTCAACATCGACGGCACAACCAAATCGCTTCGAAAAGAAGACAATGCTCTGCGTTTGGTGGAACCAGAAAGGAATCGTGTACTATGAGCTGCTGAAAAGAAGCCGGGCGAAACGGTCAATGGGCATCGCTACCGACAACAACTGATCAATTTGAATCATGCATTGCTCGAAAAACGGCCAGAATGGGACACGAGACACGAACGAGTAATATTGCAGCACGACAACGCTCCGTGCCATCGCACTTCCATCGTCCAGGACACCATCAAAACGCTGAAATAGGATCTGCTACCGCACCCGCCGTATTCGTCAGACCTGACCCCTTTCGATTATCACTTGTTCCGGTCGATGGCTTGGCTGGGCAACACTTCGCCAATTTCGAAGAAGTGCAAAATTGGTTGGATGAATGGTTTTGGTCCAAAGACGCATCATTTTATCGTCGCGGTATTCATGTATTGCCAGAGAGATAGCAAAAATGTGTAGCTAGCGAGGGATGATACTTTGAATAAACCATTTTTTGTATTTCTCTTGAAATTTTCCATTTTTCATTGATCAAAAAAACCCGGAAACTTAGTTGCGCACCTAGTACAATTGCACTTTACCAACATATTATTTTATGTACATAAGCAGAAAAAATGAATTTAATCTTAACTAAAGACAATAATATTAGCATATAATTAACTAAATATGTTTAAATTTTATAATATTATACAATAGGAGGATGTATTCAGTCAATAGAAATATAGCTCAGATTGTGATCTTTCTATGTTGTTTCATTTTTTGCATTTTTTACGTTTTGAAATGATTATTTCATTTATTGGAAATTGAGTGCATTTCTTCGTTATTATTACGTACAAAAAAGGTATGTCAATAAAATGCAATTGTATAATAAGGATATTTTTCTTTGACACTTTATGTCATACATAATGCTTTTCCGATCATTAGTTTCTTATCTGTTGTATTATGTTGCTTATTCATGTATTCTCTATTATCTCTCCAAGTTTGTTGGTATACTTTTTTAGCATCCTATATATATAATTTGCGAAGTTTAACCCCTTGACTGCGGAGGCAGAAATGTACTAGTCGTGCTATTTTTGTGTTGTAAAAAATGTCGAATTTTCTTTATGATATTTTTATAATAAGGGTTTTTGGGCTCGCTGAATCCAAATTTGATATTAAAATTCGACAAGAAAATCCGATGCGATAAATAATAAACTTCCGAAAGGGCAATTATTTTATTTATTTTATTTCAGGGTAGTACAAAAAACTATCATTTCACTTAAAAATAAAACGCGCCAAGCTATCTACCTCACAAGGTGGTGTGGAAATGATAGTTTCTACTGGTTAACTTAAACAAAATTGTGCTATTCTTAATCAAAATTTCTTAATCGTTCTCTCTCTCTCTCTCTCTCTCTCTCTCTCTCTCTCTCTCTCTCTCTCTCTCTCTCTCTCTCTCTCTCTCATTTCGTCAGAAAATTGGTTCATTCAACCAAACATATTTTCCGTGTAGACTTGAATAGAACGATAGGACACGATGAGTCTCTACGCGAATTCTATACTTCATACTCTAACAATTAAATATTCTCCTAACGATAGAGTACAATAGAGTACGATGAAAAGTGTTCATCGTACTCTGTCTTTACGCGATATTATTTCTTTCGGATCCGATGCAGCAAAACGATAAATTGCGATAGAAAACAATGAGAATTTCTGTAGATCTTATCGCTCTCTATCGCTTTCTCCTTTTCGATGTTCTCCTTTTCCTTGATCAAAGAACTTTTAAACCTTGAACTTTATAATTCAATATGAGCTGTCTGTGGTACCTCATAAAATAATCTCGTAATTGTAATCGCGAATATTCAGCGGCCATTTCGGCGCGAGCATAGACGCGGTGCGGCGGGATGTAGGAGCGGCGAGGTAAGGACATAAACATTGGCGCGTTGTCCTTCCCCTCGCCGCGCGCCGGCAACAGTTCCTTTGTCGACTGGGCAGTGCTCTCTAGCCTGAGCGGCTAGATGCTCCTCCCATAACGTTTCCGTGCGCGCTCATTCCTCTAATTTCTGTCATTAATAACTCGATAATTATTGCGAATCTCACAAGACGGTATGGGACTTTTATATTTGTCTTAACTCGCTCTATATCTCCACGAGCTCTGCCAGGTTAGTTATGAGACACCCTGTATATACGTCATCCACACTGGTGGCACGACTTTTTCATGCAGCTGTACACGTCATCCACAGTCAAGGGGTTAAGTGCTTAGTTTAATATAATATAGTTTATGAGTATAGTGCTTAGTTTAATATAATATAGTTTATGAGTATAGTTTTCATATCATATATTGTTCTCAACAATCTCGTGTTTACCTATTCTCTCGTTCTTGTAGTATCAATAATGGATCTAACCCAGCCGGTTTCGCAACACTTGTTACTCTGTTAGTCTTAGTGCCAGGTTGTGGTTGCTGTTGTTGTTGCTGCGGTGTCTGACAACCTGGCCGAGTCACACCTGCGGGACCAATGACATTCGGACCTGGAATTTGTGATCCAACTGCTGCAGCAGGGGTTTGAGATGGATCTATAGGACGTTGACCTACCCCGGGAGATGGAGCTCCACCTATTTAAATTCATTTTGTCAGGATCATCCTACTCTATTTTGTATAAATACTACAATACATATATTGTTTCGATCATTACATAGTTTAGAAACGTTAGCAGCATAATCCATCAAGTAATACAATCTAACTATTATGAAATCACAGAGAGAGAAAATTGAAATCAATGCAACAAGTATTCAACAGCGTATATATTTCAAAGTAGAAAACTTAATGTATGACATTCCAAGGTATTCTAAGCATTATGTACGATTTTCTAGTATCATATCAATAATAGGCAGTGTATAACGCAAAACAGCTCGTATTAATAGTTATATACATTTAAAAAATTAAAGATGCAACTATAACAATTGTAGTGTATGAACGTTCGCACGTACATAATTGAGTCTTTTTTGAGTATATGTTAATATTGATATGCGTGCCATTTTCAAATTACCAATGCATATCTTGCCAGAAGTCATATTATAATCTCAAGACAGAACATGTCTTTAATTGCAGCGATTACTGCTGGCAGTGATACAATATGCAGTCGTGATTAATATTGTTGCGCTTTCGAAAACCAGGATCGTTTCGAGAGTCAATTGCATATGAGCTTCCGGCCGAGCTGACGTATGATGAATTCGAGATTGCGAAATTACAATTACCTTTATCACGCTGTAAATAGAAGCTGATTAAACACTAAGTATTTTTATAAATTTGTATATTTATTTATTTCTCGGTGAAACCATGAAAGGAGGGCGTACTAGGTGGTGACGGGACGCCGTGCGTTCGGGACCTGCATCTTATTTTCTTTCCGAAGAGAGAAAAATATCAAGAGCGCGGTAGTCGCTAGACCGAGAATCGAACTCGGGTCTTTCGCTTGCTGGGTGACTGCTCTAAACCACTGAGCTACCTGACGCTCCACGCTCACAACATTCTCCTCTCCCTAGATAACGTTAAGAGATGTCGTTCGGAAGCGACATCTCTAGTGCTATCCCGAGCGCACGGCGACTACAGAGAAAGGCATTGTTACTTGTACCTAGTGGTACAAGCTGGAGGTCTCTCAAAGTCAAAGGTTGCTATCCTTTAAGACAGGTATTTATTTATTTCCCGGTCATGTAAGCGAGTGTGAGCGAACGCAACAATATCAATTGCATAGAAATAGCCAGTCTTATCGCTTGTGTATTATTTGTATTATGCGAATATTATGACTCAAGGTATCGGCCATGTTTATATTTGCAATATAACACGTGCGAATAATACACAATGTGAAATAATAGTGTGTTAGAATAATATTGAATTTTTTAACTTGTTTAATCTGTTTTCATATAAAAAGTTATAATTAATATTTCTATTTTGCTCAGTAAATGTTGAAAAAAATATAATGTCATTTTTATATAAGAATAAAGTAGAAGAATGTTGATTTATACAGGTTAACATGTTTCTTAGATCGAATGCTCATTTATGAAATACAATTAATTGAACAATTATATGATCGTATATATGATATTGCCACCAAGTGACACGGTAGTTAAAGACATGCTCGGTCTCGAAATTCTGGCCTCCGGAAAAATACGCGTCAATAATCTAGAGACAGCATGCTCATTTATATTTTTCTACATTAAAAAATGATTTATGCGCTGAATTCATGCGTTGTATTGTATATAGAAACGGAAGCAAATATATATAAAACAAGGAAATAAAAAACTGTAATAGATGTAACTATAATAAGCCAAACAAATTTATGTGACAAAAAGAGATACAAAAGATAGAGTAGTCACCCACAGTTAATAGTTTCTACTAAAAATATTATGAAGAACTCACCTTGTACAGCAAGAGCAAGATGTTGTGATAGTGGTTGATTTCTCGCCAATAATCTGTACGCCATTATTTGAACGCTGCAAACACAAATTTCAAATATGGCGTTTAAATTAACGTACAAGTGACGTACTCATGAAAAACATTTACATACCGCAACTGCTGTAATTGTAGTGAACTGAAAGTTTGTTTCTCGCTCATTCCGCTACCTTGACGAGCTCTGAGAGCTAATAACTGCGAATACCGCGGGTCTTCCTGTAAACCTTTCTCTTCCATAGAGTCGATCGCTTTTTGGAGTGCATTTAAATTTTCTTGACCAGGTCCAGGAGGTCCTGTAGGTCCGGGAGGGCCAATTTGTCCACTTCCAGTTTGACTCATTTGATTCACCGGAGCACCCGAGCCTATTGATGCTGTATTGCCTTGGCTTTGATTTTGAGTACCGGGGCCTATTTGAGTAGTAGGAGGCTGACCAGCCGGTCCGTTAGGTCCCATCTGTCCAGTTGCATTTGCATGACCAATTTGGTTATTCGGACCACAAGGTCCCATTTGATTATTCGGTCCAGGTCCTATTTGATTACTCGGAGCGTTCGGGCCCATCGGAGCACCTGGACCTCCTTGCATCATTTGCCCTGGTCCAGCGGATGGAATTTGTCCTCCTGGTCCTATTTGACCAGCGGGGCCACTCCCCGGTCCCATCTGTCCACTTCCTGGTCCCATTTGCCCTCCAGGTCCACTACCGCCGTGTCCCATCTGCGCGCCGCCTGGTCCCATTTGACCACCAGGTCCACTGCCAGAATTCATCTGTGCTGCAGGGCCATTCCCTGGTCCCATTTGGCCACTAGAGCCACTTCCAGGACCTGTCGAACCCATCTGTCCTCCGGGACCACTACCCGTATTCATCTGCCCACCAGGTCCACTAGCTGCATTTACTCCAGTAGGTCCATTAGGCCCACCTCCCGGACCCATGGTACCAACAGGTCCGCTACTTGTTGTCATTGGTACATTATTTGGTGCACCACCCGGACCCATTTGACCAAGACTATTCGGCCCTAATTGTCCCACGGGTCCGCTTCCGGGTCCCATTTGCCCTGCTGGACCGGAAGGTCCCATCTGACTCCCCGGCGCACCTGATCCCATTTGGTTACCTGCTCCCGTTGGACCCATTTGGTTACCTGGCCCTCCAGGACCCATCTGCCCCCCTGCTGGTGTATTCATACCCATTTGTCCAGGTGGACCGCCCATGCTTATCTGCGTAGGACCGTTCGGACCTATTTGAGACGGCCCATTATGACCCATTTGTCCATTCGGGCCGATCTGTCCAGCTGGTCCAACGGGACCCATCGGTCCGTTCGGTCCCATTTGTGCTTGACTGCTCGGTATCATCTGATTCGGACCACCAGGACCCATTTGATTCGGACCTCCCGGCCCCATACTATGTCCTGTAGGACCACCTGTAGGTATCTGGTTGGGAGCACCAGGACCCATGTGACTTCCTGGACCGCTTGCGTTCATATGTGTAGAAACGTTCGGACCGCTAGTGCTCATATGACTCGGAATAGGAGGACCGGTATTCATGTGGCTACCTGGTCCAGGAGGTCCACTAGTATTCATATGACCTGGTCCAGGAGGACCAGTAGTGTTCATATGTCCAGAGCCAGGTGGTCCGCTAGCATTCATATGCCCTGGTCCTGGCGGTCCCGCGCCCATATGTCCCGGACCGGACGGACCGCTGGCAGATATATGACCTGGTCCTTGTGAACCACCTGCATTCATATGGCTTGGTGGTCCACTCATATGTCCAGGACCCCCGGGAACCATTTGTGAGTTTTGAGGTCCTCCTGTGCCCATCTGAGGACCTGGCACAGGTCCACTGCCTGGACCCATTTGTCCTGGTCCACCTTGACCCATATGAGATCCACCAGGAGGTCCTCCTCCTTGTACCATATGAGATGGACCCATCTGCCCAGGTCCTCCAGGACCCATTTGGTTGGGTCCACCAGGACCCATCTGGTTGGGTCCACCAGGACCCATCTGTCCAGGTCCACCAGGACCCATTTGACCAGGTCCACCGGGACCAATCTGCCCAGGCCCACCGGGACCCATCTGTCCAGGCCCACCTGGACCCATTTGACCAGGACCCATTTGGCTAGGAGCACCGGGACCCATTTGTCCCGGTCCATTAGAACCCATTTGATTTGGACCGGTTTGCATCATATGAGATCCACTTTGTGGTCCATTTGGTCCCATTTGACCTGGCACCATAGGCCCCCCAGGACCCTGCTGAGAAGTCGGTCCTTGTCCGACTGGACCTCCTGGACCTCCTTGATTCTACAACAAAGAAAAAAATTGATATAAAGCACAACTTTCTAGACGTAAATAAACCTTATTAAAAATGAAATATATTAGGTAAATCGGAAAGTTCCATCCGTTTAGCGATAAGTAGCTATAGCTAGAACTGTCGTTAACCTGTAATGTCTAAACGGAGCTTAATAGTTTGTTTTGACATTTGTCAATAACATTCAGTACATAAAAGTATACGTTTGCATCAATAACATTGTTTTTCACTGCATCGAAAATGTCGAAATTTGAGCCAAATAAGCGTCATTTGCGCGAAGTGTTAATCTTTTGCTTCAATTAGAAGAAAACTGCAGCTGAAGCTCATCGAATGCTTATAGAAGTTTATCGTGATAATGCTCCTTCCGATAAAACATGTAGAGAATGGTTTCGACGCTTTAAAATTGGTAATTTTGATGTAGAGGACAAAGAGCGTTCTGGACGGCCAAGAGTATTCGAAGATGAAGAATTGCAGGCATTCGTAGACGAAGACCCATGTCAATCGCAAAAGCAACTTGCAGAAGCATCAAATTGTGCTTAACCTGTCATTTCCAATCGTTTGAAAGCCTTAGGAAAGGTTTACAAGGAAGGAAAATGGGTTCTATATGAACTGAAGCCAAAAGACATTGAAAGGCGAAAAACCACCTGCGAAATTCTACTTATTAGGCAACAAAGAAAGGGGTTTTTACATCGTATCATCATTGGAGATAAAAAATGGATTTATTTTGACAATCCCAAACGTCGAAAAACTATTTGCGATCCCGGCCAACCCTCAACATTGACACCAAAAAGGAATATCCACGGAAAGAAGGTAATGCTCTGTATTTGGTGGGATTAGAAGGGTGTGCTGTACCATGAGCTGTTGAAAAGTGGTGAAACAGTCACAGGGGATCTCTACAGAGAACAAATGATCCGCTTGAGCCGAGCATTGCACGAAAAACGACGAAAATATGAAACGAGACAGCATAGTGATTTTGCTTCATGACAACGCTCGGCCTCACGTCACAAAATCTATCAAAGAAACGTTAGAAGCACCTCGCTGGGAAGTGTTACCTTATGCGGCTTATTCACCAGACTGTGTCCCTTCCGACTACCACTTGTTTCGGTCGATGGCACACGCACTTGCTGAGGAATGCTTCAATTCTTATGAAAACGTCGAAAAATGGATCTCTGACTGGGTAACCTCCAAATATGAGTCATTCTTTCGCCGCGGAATTCGCTTGCTGACCGAAAGATGGGAAAAAGTCATCGCTAACGATGGACAATACTTTGATTGATATACTTTTTCATTTTGTTTCTTAAATAAAGCTATACGTTTTGCAAGAAAACGGACGGAACTTTCCGATTGACCTAATAAATTTTATTTATATGCCTTGTAAATTTCTTCAAGAATCAACTCATACTTCATATCACATATATTTTTAATTAAATAGCAAACAAAACTAAATGTGAAAATTGCGTATTCTTCGAAAAATTTTTGTGTTTATCGCGTAGAGAATCAAAGAAAATACTTTGAAAGTATAATATTTCATTAATCACGTATTATCAAATAAAATGAGTCTTACAAAAATAAAATCAATATACGGAGAAAATTTTATAATAAAAATTAAAATATCATACTTTAAAATATCGTAATTATAATCTTAATTTATTATTTTTTTCATGTCATTTGTGCTATTTACAATATATTTCGACTTAAAGTTTGCTATTAAAAAATTTACTATGTTAATTAGCAAAATAAATTATATCTATTAGTTGATATAGCCACTTTAGTATAACTAAATATAATCTGCACAAAAATGTAGTGCTCTTTTACTGCTAATTTGTTGCTTTTTCCCCAATTTTGTTATTCTAGTCATTTTGCTAAAAATCATTTCTGTGCTAGCTTAAAAGTAACACAAGTACACACATAAAAAAATAAAGTTTTATATTATTTTATATATTTTTATAATATTACTTTGTTACAAATTTATTGCTATACATTCAAAAATATTGGGTTAAGTAAAAAGTTTTGAACGTTTTCCGCTAGATGGCTTTAGTGAGGTCATATCTCACGATGTATACGTCACATCTGGTCATTCTATACTGCGACTTAAAGGTGACATAACGCTTTAAAAAAAGTTCTTTGACAGTTTTGTGTTTGGTGAAGCCAGTTGTGTGTTAGAGCGTTCCAAAGTGGAGGTAAAAAAAGAGAAAATTCGATACATTCTTCAGTATCACTACGACCAAAGGGAAAAAGCGGAGCAGGCGGCCAAAAAAATTTGTGCTGTTTATGGACCCAATACAGTATCGAATGCAACAGCAAAGCGGTGGTTCCAACGATTCCGTTCTGGTAATATGGACGTCGAAGATGAGACACGCTCTGGTAGGCCAATCGTCGAAAATGTCGATAAAATCATGGAAATCGTCGAGTCGGACCGGCATGCGAGCACTTATTCCATTGCCCAGGAACTGAAGATTAGCCAGAAAACCGTTTGGAACCATTTGCATAAGGCTGGTCTCAAGAAGAAGCTCGATGTATGGGTGCCACACGAATTGACGCAAAGGAACCTTTTGGACCGAATTCATGCCTGCGATTCTTTGCTGAAGCGTAAAGAAATCGACCCATTTTTGAAGCGGATGGTGACTGGCGATGAAAAACGGGTCACATACGAGAACAATAAGCGAAAAAGATCGTGGTCCAAGCGCGGTGAGCCGGTCCAAACGATCGCCAAGCCCGGATTAACGGTCAAGAAGGTTTTACTGTGTGTTTGGTGTTTGGTGGGATTGGAAGAGAATCATCCACTATGACCTGCTCCCATCGGGCCAATCAATTCGGACCTACACTGTCAACAACTGACCAGATTGAAGCAGACGATCGACGAGAAGCGGCCAGAATTGGCCAATAGGAAGGGTGTTGTGTTCCATCAAGACAATGCCAAGCCGCACACATCTTTGACGACGCGCCAGAAGCTTCGAGAGCTTGGATGGGAGGTTATATCGTACTCGCCGTATAGCCCAGACCTGGCTCCAAGCGATTATCACCTTTTCAAGCATTTGCAAAATTTTCTTGATGGTACAAAACTGGCTTCAAGAGAGGCTTGTGAAAATGAGCTGGTCAAGTTTTTTACCAGTAGGGACGAGGACTTCTTCAATCGCGGAATTATGAAAATGGACAAAAGTTATTGAACAAAACGGCGCATATTTGATCTAAATCCGATAATCCTAACTTTGTTAATTTCATCGTCGAAATAAAGAGAAAAAACGCTCAGAACTTTTTACTTCACCCAATAGTTTGCTTAGTTTTACCAAAAAATTTACCACAAACTCAATATTGTGAAAATTATTGTATTGCAAAAATAAAAAAGCATTAAAAATATATTATAAATGTCAACATATTTCATATTTTCTGATCTTGGTCAATATTTCATATCATTCCGATTTTATTTTGTTCTGAGCATTGAAAAAGAATCTTTCTAATACACCTAAAATAATGTAGTTTTTTACATATACAGGGTGTCCCATTTTAATAGTGCACTTCGATTATCATTGCAAGGATGAGAGAGGAGAGTTCACCTATAAGGGGGGAAGGGGAGCATCGGTAATAGATTATGTGTTAGATAATGGAGATATGATAGAGGAAGTGGAAAGGATGGAAGTAGGAGAAGAGATAGAATCTGATCACCAATCAATAGATGTATGGATAAAAGTAGAAAGGGGAAGGAAGAAGTGGAAGGACAGGAAGGAAGAAGGGAAGAGTAGAGGAAAATGGGATGAAGAAGGGAGAGAGAGATTTAGAAGGGAAATGGGAAGGATACAAGGAGAACAGGAAGACATAGACGAGGAGACGGAGGTAGTGTATGACAGGATAAAGAAGGCCATGAGGAGCAGTGAGGAAGGGAGGAAGGGGGAGGGAAAGAATAGAGGAGGGTGGTGGGACGAGGAATGTAGAAGGAAGAAAAAGGAGGTGAAAGGAGAGCTGAGAAGATGGAGAAAAGGGGAGGCGGGAAACGGCGAAGAGTACAGGGAAAGGAAGAAAGAATATAAAGAGCTATGTGATAGGAAGAAAAAAGAGAAGAGGAAGAGAATGGAGAAAGAGGTAGAGAGAGCCAGAACAGAAGGAAGAGTATGGGAAATTGTAAAAAGGGAAAGGAAGAGGAGAGGGAGAGTGAACGAACAGATTGGAATGGAGGAGTGGAAGGAACGTTTTATGAGATTATTGAGAGGAGTGGAGAGGAAGGTGAGGAGAGGGGAAGCAGGAAAAAGGAAGAAAGATGGAGAACAGGAATTAGGTTGGGAGGAAGTGAAAAGGAGTATAAAAGGGCTGAAAGACGGAAAGGCGATAGGAAGTGACGGGATTCTAAATGAGATATATATCATATGGAGATATGGAGGGGAGGAGATGGAAAGATGGGCGGGGGAGGTGTGTAGGAGGGTATGGAGGGGGGAGGGGTGGCCCGAGAACTGGAAGGAGGGGGTGATAGTCCCAGTTATTAAGAATGGAAAAGGAGATAAGGTGACATAATATAGGGGAATAACACTGATGCCGTCACTATACAAAGTGTACGCGGTGGTATTGGCAGAAAAACTAAGGGAAGAAGTGGAGGAAAAAGGGATGCTGTCGGGAAGCCAAACGGGATTCAGGAAAGAGAGCAATAGACCAGGTGTACACGTTGACCTATGTAATAAACAGGCAGTTAGGAAAAAAGGGAGGGAAATTGAGCAATATTTGTGGATTTAAAGGCCGTGTTTGATTCGGTAAATAGGGAGGGATTAATAGGAGCGATGAGGGAGAGAGGAATGAGGGAAGGACTGGTGGACAGAGTAGAGGAAATTCTTAGGGAAACAAAGAATAGGGTAAGGATAGGCAGGACAATGGGGGAAGAATTTTGGACGGCAAAAGGGGTTAGACAGGGATGCCCACTGAGCCCAATATTGTTCAACATAATGCTAGCGGATTTAGAGGAAGAGATTTCGAAGGGGAGGTGGGGAGGGGTAAGGATAGATGGAAAAAA